GTTGTACTCTTGTAATACTGATGTAATATGTGGTCAAGTCTTCGGACATATGGCCTAACCGCTTGTACTAATAAAGTGCCAAGGGCCCAAGTGGTTACCTTAATATTAAAAAAAAAAAAAATTTTAGTATTAGTTTCTCAAATATATAAATATTAGTATAATTATTTTATTATCTTACTTTATTTTATTATTATTTTATTATTATTTTTTAGCTATATTTAGTATTAGTATTATTTATATTGTTAGCCAAAAAAGAAAAATTATAAAAATATGCTTGACACTTAATACTTCTCGATAATACTTAGCAATAGTAAAGTAATAAATATTAATACTTTACTTAATAGATATATAAACTCCCACTTTTGTTTTAAGTTAATAACAAGTTAATATATTAAAAATTACTAATAACTTAAACAAGTTATTTTCTTTCTCTTTTTCTATATATAGTTACTCTTGTAAAAAGATTCTTTAGACACAGAAATTTAACAAATAGCTTTATCTTTTGTTATTAATAAAGTTATATTTTATCTATAAACCTTGTCTCTATAACAAATTGTCTTAGAGAAGGGTATAGTTTTTTAACAAACTTAAGAAATTATACTTACCTCTTGGACACTGCTATAATCTTGTAAAGGATCTCTGTAGCCATGTTGTTGTTATAATAGAAAGTTTAAGAAGGCCTTTTTATTATAACAATAGATTTGATTTACTTAATTAATTAACTATTCTAGTATATTATACAAGTCTATTTACAAATATAGTGTAGATATATAGTAAAATCATTTACCAAATTTTTTTACAATTAGCAATATAATATAGTAATAGTATAAATAATAAAAATATATAAAATTTAAATTATAATAACTCTTAAACAAACAAATTTATACAAATAAAATTATATTTGCCAGATTTATTTTATATAATCTTAAAGTAACAATATATTTTTTTTATTTATTTTTATTGTTTAAAGCTAGCAGAGAATATAATTTTTATATAAAATTGTTATTTTTGATATTTTTTTACAAGTTTACTAAAATACACTAGTGGTGCTAATATTAATTTTATTTAATAAAATTATTAATCTGTTATATAATATAAAAACAAATATAACAAAAAATTAATTGTTTTTCAAAAAATCTTTAATAACTCAAAATTTTGCTTATAAAACTACCTTTAAAGTTTTAACAAAAAAAATTCCTTACAAATTTTGATATAAATTATACTCCTACTCTATTACAAACTTTAGCTTTAACTCTAATACTAGTCAAATTTATTTTATTTATTTATTTAGTTTTGATAATAAACTTCATATTATACAGCATATATAATATACTGATGTTAGCACTACAGGTGTGCTTTAGTAAACTTGTTTTTTTAATAAAAATATCAAAAATGTCCTCTTGTATTATGCAATGGTGATTGACAATAAATTTAAAGTACGTTTTTGATGCTCTATTAAGAAATATATCAAAAATGACAATTTTATATGAAAACTGCGTCCTCCACTATGCTTCAAACAATAAAAATAAATAAAAAAAGGCGTAATTTTATTGTGTGGGTTTGCTTGTTCAAGAGTTATTGCAATTTAAATTTCATATGTTTTTACTATTTATGCTATGCGGCAAACCTAACCTGTTATGCGTTTTCGACTACAGGACTATGTGATTTGCGATGTTGATCATTGATTTTATCAAAATTTTTGTTGATCAGCCAATAAAAGTAAACTTCAACCCTTCTCTCAATTAAATCTTTAACGCCTACATCATTATGTACGCCTTAAGACCCGCTTCCTTAAGAGCCGTCGCACGAATTGTCACATCGCGTATTTTTCGTCCTAAATTAGTCACAACGAGGACTTTTAGTTATGTCAAACCACTTTATCAGCAAGAGGATAATAAACTTTCAGAGTATCAAAAGAAAAAACTCTTATTAAAAAAAAAGTTCGCTGACGAATTTGTTGCTAAAGTTACTGTAAACTTTTCGTTCCATTAACATGTTCACGTGTATATGAGAAATGATATTTGTAGATATAATATGATATTGTTGTTTTCATTAATTAAATAGCGTCCAGCGCCATTTTGGGAAGCCTTGGCCGTTGTTGGTGACGAAATTAAAACTCTTTCGCTGAATGATTTTGAAGATAAATTTTTGATAATGTTATTTTATCCATTGGACTTTACATTCGGTGAGTCAAATATAATTCCACCAATTCTGGCATGTTATTTAATGATTACAAGACTAAAAAAGAAAATCAATTAATTTTAGTATGCCCAACTGAATTGAACGCTTTCTCGTGAGTTTGGCATTAATTCTATTATAAAAAGTTAAATTAATTGACTGTTTAATGATTTTTTTTTAAACATTTGATGTGATTAGTGATCGTGTACAAGAATTCAAAGATATTGGGGCCGAAGTAGTTGCAATTTCTTGTGATTCACAATTTTCTCATTTGGCTTGGAGGTTTGTAATTATTTTAACACGTTTTATTTATTAATTTGTATATAATAAACTTTTAAAAAATTCTTTCCAGCAAAATGCCGCGAGGTCAGGGTGGCATCGGCGGTATCAAGTATGTTATATCTAATTCTACTTATAATTATTTATATGCCATTCTTTATTAAAAAAGGTTCAATTTCTTTTGAATATTACAAAGGATTCCTCTGGGTATGTCCATCACGTGACCATTGTTTGTATAATAATTTTTAATTTTCAATAAATGAAAATATTTAGTTGCTGATTACTCAAAGCAAATAAGTGAAGATTATGGTGTTTTGTATGAAGAAAAGGGCATTCCTTTTAGGTACATCGTTTCTTTCTATTTGATTTTGTTTAATTTTTATACTTAATTGTTTGCGTTAAATCATTTAATACGTAGAGGAACTGTTATAATTGATGACAAGGTAATAAAGTTACATCATTAAGCTTTTATATCTGTATGTTAATTCATTAACAACGTTATCATATAGGGAACTGTCCGTGTAATTCATATTAATGATACCGAAATTGGTAAGGGACACAAATGAAGTTAATAGTTAATAGGCTTATATAATCCAATCAACTATTTAATAAATTTAATAGGCCGTTCGGTGGATGAGGTTCTTCGCCTAGTGCAAGCTATCCAATTCGCGAATGATTATGGGGAAGTTTGTCCAGGTACTTGATCTTAACTGCTATGGCTATTGCAAAGCGAGAAGTTCACTTAGTAATACATTAACGTTTGTTCATAAGCAAACTGGAAAAAGGGTGATGCAACCATCGTACCAGATCCAAAGAAATCCATGATATATTTTTCCAAATTAAAAAACGAAAAATAAGTGATATATAGTATATAAAAAGGTAAGCACTGACAATACCTCTTTTTTTGATTTCTTACAAATAGGCGTGATTTCCACCCTTTTCTCAATCTTCATCAATTGAAAGAAAAAGTTATTTTCAATATTTATTAATTATATTATTAACAAACAAATAGTTAATCATTATCTCTTCAACTTTTTCTTTTAAAAATGTCTGCCGATATTAAAACACTTCGCGAAACTTTAAAAACTCTTGCAGTCCGCGATGAAGAATCAAAAAATGATTTCTTTTCTAATGACTCTTGCGATGATTATTCTGTCCCTGACTCTTTCACCCAAATTTTTGGCTATGCTTTTTCTGAAGAGGATATCAGCGAAGCAATCGAACAACTTCGAAATGAAAAGGAAACTATTGACGGAATTAAAAACGAGACAACTTCCGATCAAAATGAAGGTGTGATTGCTAGATTTAAAGGATGGGTGGTAAAGATGGCGGGATTCGCTTAAAGAGTTGAGAAGTCAAAAGGATTGTATTTTAAACCATTTTTCATTCCCTTTGTATTTAACATCGGCATTTTCATTATCACTTGCATTTTTATCATTTGTAATTTTTCTCAAGCATTCAACACTCTTTGTATAATGACATTTAAATAGAAGATTGTCTTTTCCATCTTTGCATTTGATTTTCTTACATGATTTTTATCAATTATATACATAAAAAAAAAAAAAAACTCTCTTTTACATTTATTTGTATATGTATTTCTGATTCACTTCTTTTAATAAGCAAAAAGGAGAAATAAAATTCAAATGTTTTTACTATAAATTACTGCGCCAAAAAAGTAAATTCCTTCCCCGCAAAAAAAAATATAAATTTAAAAAAAGACCCTGAATTATTGTTTATTCAAATAAGCAACCCCACATAACAATGCCTTCAAATATCCTTTGTTTTTTCATGGATCATATGGCGTGTTACTAAATTTACGTACATCGTAATTAGAATGGTTACACCGATCTTAATATTGATCAGAATGTTAGTAACATGTTTTACGTATTATAAAAACATGGAGGAACCAAATGAACACACTTATAATGTATTCCTGTCTAGTTTCTTAGCGAATGATAAATATGCATACTCTGTTCAAGTATGGGATGACACGAAGAAAAAAGGTCATAAACCAACTTCAATAATCTACAGCACCATGTTAATGGTTTCTCTCGAAAGAAAAAGTATCATGATGCTGAAGTTATATGGGAACAAATGAATCATGAAAATATTAACCTGATTCAATCGCTTATTGTGCAATGGTAGATGCATATTTTTGGAAAAAGATTATCAAGAAACTCTGAACAAATGCGATAAGATAATATTCCAATGACAGAAATAGTATTCAATAGAATAATTAATGGTTTATTATGGAATAATCGTTGATGAAGCAGTACATATCTATATATCGGCAATGCATACAGTGAACATATGTACGACCATGTATATCGACATTTAATATTCTTATTAGAGGTTTGTTAATTGTAAAAATATGAGGATGTAAAAGATTGCGCCTGACGTCGTAACACTGGCAACTCTCATTGAATGTTATTTTACAAAGGGAGATAAAGTGCCGGTACTTATGGAATTAAACCTAATAAAGCCACTTACGGCGCTCTAATTATGGTCTAATGATCATGGGTGACTATGCGGCTGCAAATTAACATACGAAGAAATGCCATCAGCGAACATTCGACCAAATACAAATTTTTACGGTTGCATATTAAATGTATTTTTCAAGCTAAACGATTTATAAAACCTTATTAATGGGATATATTAATTATAATGACTTGAACAGTGCTACTAAATGTTACAAGATATGTGGGATGTAAATTTCGAACCTACAGATTTGATTTAAAGCGCTTATGTAAGATGGT